ATTCTCGTAATATTATGACTTTATTCTCGTAGACCTAATATTATGACTTTATTCTCGTAATATTATGACTTTATTCTCGTAGTTTCCAAAAATTACTCTTAGTATGGCCCTAATACTCCGTCGCACCTTTGAGCAAACATCCAAAAAAGATTGTTATGTTTTGTTAAAGAGCTTCAGGTAAATACAGGTTTTATAGATTACTTTCTGAACCGTTTTCTCAGTGTTGGTTAGATTAATATAACCTGTCCAGCTGTGAGCTCTGTGTCTTCTGGCAGCTTTTTTCCGTCGATCAGACAAATTCCACTCTGAATCTGGTCTGCCCACACTTTCAGTCCCTCCTGAAACAAAGTGTTAGACCTGAGAACAGTGCCACTTAAGTTCCTGAAAATGTATGCGTGTGTGGGTGTGGTGCGTGCTCCAACCTTAAGACATTTATCCATATTTTCTGTACTGGTTCTGTTGTCTGGTAGTGGTACCAACATGTCCACATTTAAACAACATGACACCATGCTCCAGGAGGAACACACTCCTGACTGGTACTTCCAGTCTGCAGGCTTGGCCATACTCTGGAACAGCCAATGACATTGATATGATTGCTAACCACACTGCTGCATGTTTAAATCTAAATACAAGTCTGAGTAGGCTCTTCGGTCTGTCACAAGCTTGAATCCTTAGTGCCTGATCCAATTCATGTCAAGTGAGATCTTGAAGACATTCAGAATAATTAGGATGGACCTTTGGAATGTTTCTTTAAAGGGTTTCAGTATCTATTAACTCAACAGATTTCACCTTTCCTTTGCTGTTGGTAGATCAGTGATAAAAACATTTGAACTGAGGCTTACACATTATAACTGGCTTAAAGGGATGGTTTGGGTTTTTTGAAGTGGGGTAGCATGAGACACTTATCCACAGTCAGTGTACAGCAGACGGCAGTAGGCACGCCCCCTGTTTGGACCAGCAGACAGGAGCATGGAAACTAAGCAATGAACGACTGTGGACGGAGGCAGAAAAACATATTTTAACCACCTAGAAAAAAAACACCCACCAAAGAAAATCAATGTCACTGGTAGTTTACGTGTAGGCCAACTGCCGTCTACTGTAGGTAATACAACCCCACTTCAAGTCTGCAGACTAATGACTGCAGAAGGAAGCTGAAATGAAAGATCAGTAAACTAACCTTGGGATCTTTGACGTCAAAGGTTCTGCAGACTGTTCTGATGTGGCGTTAAAGAATATCCAAACAGTATGTGGTGGCTACCTTATCCAATGAGAAGGCTGTGCAAAAGGATACTTTCTGGTTTTGGGGTTGACGTGCAGCGTGACACAGTCTGTGACGTCATCATCTGCAGGGTTCCACAGATGCTCCGAGGAGATCAGGTTCTCCACTGCAAAAACCAGCTACACACAGAAAGTAAACACACACACACACACACACACAAGGATCAGAAGAGTAGGACACACTAACAGGTATAGGCAGATAACCAAAGCAACTGTGATGTCTAAATGTCCTCCCAGAGCTTCCTTCCCGGATCATCGTTGTACTTAAAGCATTTATTTCATATAAACAGAGACTCATAATGAATGCTACTGTTGCTCTGTGTCTGCTGGATGTCTACGTAGATAGTGGCTCACTAAAACATTTATGTCTTTCTACCTTTCCAGTGTTTCTGTTATACTTTGCGACCACAGAAAAGAAAATCTTCCTTTTTATGTAAAGTTTAAATTACTATGTAACTCTTACTCTTCACAGCAGAGTTGAAAGCTAGATAGTCAGTAGCTGATGGTTACAAGTCCTTGCAATTTTTTTTGTAAAACAAAAGCCCCCCCCACTGCTGAAAAGAAACATTGCTTTCTGATAGACGTTTTAAGTTGCTGCTAGTAACAGTGCTTCCTCATTTGAAACTCTTTATTGTGGTGTGCCCCAAGGTTCTGTCCTGGGTCCTGTTCTTTTCACCTTGTAAGCTTCCCTTTAGTAGATAAGTCACTTTAAATTAATCTACAATCACTGCTATGCAGAAAATATTCAATTATACATCTTGTTCTGGGTTTGTTAGTTGTTTCTCAATCCAAGCGTAAAACTGAAGGAGACTGTGCTTTTGACGTTGTTATACTAACGTTACACTTTGGAACTGTCTCCCTTTAGACTTAGACTTTAAATATGTCGACACTGTTTGTTTTCATTTATCTATTGTTTATGCGGGTGGTTATAGCTATTTTATGGAATTTTCACTCACTTTATTCTTAAGTGTGAGTTCTAGGAAAAGTGCGATAGAAATAAACCTACAGTTTGATAAGCAATAAGACATGTGATGGCTGTGTATCTATCAGCTGATTTGAATAATTTTCCCCCTGTGGCCTAATGCAGCTTTAATAGTGTGTACATCATGTACACGTACAGTGTGTCTATATGAATCTCACCTGGCGGAGTGTGGTTAGTGTGTCCTTTGCATCAGTATCAGTAATGATGAAGACTCCCAATACAGACAAGCCTCCAGGCAGCATCCGAGACACCTGAAAACAGATCAAACTAATTCTAAAAGAACCTCCACACACTGAGTTATCATACAGTACACTTACTAATACACACCAGACTACGTGTGAGCGTGTATTGGGATCGAGCCTCGTCCCTCTTAGCGTACCTGTCGAGCATGCTCAGTCACCCACTCCTTGTCCAGAGCGTTTCCAGCTGCCGCAGTAGACTCCTCCTTTTGGGGTGTCCGAGTTGCCATGACAACAAAATCCCTTTGGGTTGAGCTCTGAAATGTTTAGTCATTAATATCAATTTACTGTGTCTTCACTCCACATTCATCACACACTCTTCCACATCATATCATGTCATATTATGAGAGGCAACACTCCAATACATCACACAAACCACATACACAGCTTTACAGATGTATTAGCCAGTTTAAAGTTTGTATGATGTAGTCCTGTGTTACAGGTGAAGTGGCTATTTCTTAGTTACATTCTAACCAAAATGTAAGCAGACTGAGTGATATCTAGCTGTTTTAATGGTTGAACTGCACCATTAATCAAAATATTATCAAAATCTCATTATGGAGAAGTGCAATATGCAAATCACAGAAGCTGCAGTTTTTCACTTATGGTCCAATGTGTGACAAACAACATTATAATACATATTATATAATATATAAAGTACTGTAGTGCTGCAGAGATGCCCTGGCCTACAAATCGTGTTCTACGAATTTAAGAAAACATGTTGTTTTGTTACAGACCCCGATAGAAGTTACATCATCATGATTTTAATAGTTTTTTTCAGTGAAAACGGATCATTCCCCCACTATTCGTGCATCATATCACAATCCCAATATCTGTCAAAATAATCACAACATGTTGTAACCATATGGCAGCCCTATTTAATGGCAGACTGTTGAATCTAGTGTGGCGCTATATTCTGAAGCGGAAGGAAACCAAACAACAGGCCAGTATCACTCACTTCATACAAATATTAGTGTATAACTTTACCTGTCCAATAAGCAGGCCTGTGACTGGACCTACTTGTTGCTCACATAGTTTAGACACATATCCCTCCACAGCATCTTCTACTATGTAGCCACGACCCATACTGCCTATGGAGTGTGGAAAGAGATGGAGAGGTGATGCAAGATACACACAATATAGCATAGCCACTTTATCAGTATGTCTGCAATAAGTGCTGGGAAAGTGAGCTGTGGAAGAATGAACACGTTCAACTTAAGCTCAGCGTTAAGTCATGCGTTTGAGGGCTGTCTGCCCCTCTAACTTTAGCTAGCTGATATTCACATACTGCCTGTAGCTAACGTTTGATGGTTAGCTGCAATTTAAAAGAGTTGCTACAGCTTGAACGCCAAGAGCCTATCCATGTAGCTTGAAGGAAAATACCTGAGAGAAACAAGACAGTAGGTAAAATATGAACCAGAAGGCAGGAGGCTCGCTGTTAATATTGACAGCTGGCAGTGGTTCGTCAGCAGAGCGGAAAAAACTCAATTTACAACAATGCTTTCTGCTGTGACGTAGTTCCGTCGCACCTCTCTGTCGTAGTGGGTTAATCGAGGTAAAAAGGTGAAGTTACACAACGACAGACAGACAACTAACGGAACATTGTTCTCTTCAAAATAAAAGTTGTAGTAACCACTAAAGCTTGTGGCTAGTTTTACACACGTTAGACATTAAGGTTGCACTTCAGCTATAGATGAACTATAATTAAAGCTTACAAAAGCAACTAACTAAATGACTATACTGAGAATAGAAGCATTGTAACTGTCACATTACATATCAATGAAACTATGAATGTATGTACTTCTGTCTGCGGTGGTACCACACTAGTGCGGTTGAAGTGCTTATGTCAAGGCTTCCGCTGTCATACAAGGTTTCCAATACATACCGAATCAAGTTTTACAATTAAAACAGCAACTTTTAACTTAGTCAGCGCAATTCCATTCATTTCATCCGGAGATACTAGTATACGATTGTCAATGATTGCTTTATTTTGAAAGTTTGGAGTGGATATCCCGCCCTTGTATGAGTGCGGTTTGACGCTTTCTCGGCAAGTTATCAGCGGGTTTGTGGACGGTATATAGTACAAAATTAAATTACCAGAGTCTGGTGTTCATTCACTTTTATTTTTCGGGGCCGTAGGTGGAGATGGCGGCCGTCCTGCTGCAGGTCCTGGAGCGGACGGAGTTGAACAAACTCCCGAAAGGCGCCCAGAACAAGCTCGAGAAGTTTGTAACGGAGCTGCAGAATGCTAACGAGGCGCTCAAGACGCAGCATGAGCGGTTCAAAGCAGACAGTGGTAGGTAGCAACAGCCAAGTAGAAATTACTTTGCTAATTGTCATGGAAGCTTTGATAGAAAACTCATGTGAAACTCCAGGCTACTACGAAGCTGTCTTCTGATAAATTCGGCCAGAAAATAACTGTTGTGTTTGCCTCACAGTGCTTACAACTGCCCGCTAACAATAGCTACGATGTCACGTAAAGGCTAACTTTGGCGGAAGACATTTATGCCAGCAGTTCTTAAACATGACATTTTATTTAAGGGATTACTGTGTAGTGTGTGAAATCAATGCCGAATTGAAGATCAATTCCCAAATATTTGGTAAAGGTCTGTTATGTTTATATATTTGCCATTAACCGAGGTAAGGATTAGATTTCTATACATTCTATTGAAATTCAAGTGAAGTTTGGCTTGGCGTTTTGTCACAACTTAAAAGCTGCTCACCTGAATTCACAATTATGAATTCTGGATTAACTGATGAATTTAAGAAAATGTGGCTTCCCATGAATCCATCCTACACTGTGAATGAAACCACAATACCATTACCACATTACTATATATGATGGCGACACACTTAAAATCAAAGCATGCATGTCTTGTTGCAGACTACAGTTTACAAAGCTGAGTATCTACAGATGATAAAATCTGTTGCCGTTTCAAACTGTAGCCTTTCAACAGACAGTAGTGTGTCAGATATGGTTATTATGTTGTAAGACATGTGTACTTATGTGTTCCTGTTGAATGTTCTCTGCCCTTACAGAACAGCAGTACTTTGACATTGAAAAGAGACTGGCGGAGAGTCAGGAACAGATCCTGTCTGCTACCAGAGACCTGCAGACACTCAAGGAGGAAAATAAAAAACTCAGTAAGTTTTTACAAATACATTGTTTACACACACTTTCTCTATCCGGCATTACATTATGTTACAAAATTACGGGCATACAGTTCCTACAGTGTTCACCCATTTTGGATGAAAAGAGCAACAAGTTAATTCATCATTTCATCTCAGATCTACTGGTCTGTGACCTTTAACTATTGTACAGTACTTACATAGTTATGTGAACTTTGGCTTTAAAGCAACTGGAATCTCTTAACATTAAGTTTAAAAACTTGGATGAGTGTGGTCTCCTCTTTTTGTGGGCCTCAGTATGAGCAGTGTTCTCTCTGTGCAGATGAAGAGCTGAGCACACTGAAGGGAATCGAGGGAGAGACCTCTGAAGACAAACCGTTACAACAGGTAAACACACACGCACCTCATTAGGATGTAGTGCCAATGATCTTATCAATGATGTTTAAGAAATACTTCACTCAAAAAGTATACATTTATGTTTCTGTTGATAAAATGAGTCTGCAGTCACAATCATTGTTTCAGAGATAGAAGTACACTCAGTTTTGGTCCGGATTGTGTTAAAATTAAAAAAATGTAATTCCATTGATCAGTCAGATCATATGTGTTGTATACATATATTTTTTTCATGAAGTCACCTGTACTGTATATTGTCTGAACAAAGTTGACATAGAGGTTTAAATGTCAATCATAATCTGAGCTATTAATAATTGAATTAAAATAGACTGTTTATTCTGTATGACCAGACCTGTCTATTTATAAAGTAATAAAAGTTAGTAATACTAATAAAAGTCAACCAAATATTTCAAATTTTCTACTAGCACTGGTTAATATTATAGCTCAAGCACTGTATGTAATCTGTATATATTTGTGTCTGCAGCAAACTAAGACCAAGTATGAGATTGAAGCAGAGAAGAGAGAGCTGGCAAGGCTGCTGGAGAAGAGAACGCAGGAGGTGGAAAACCTTACTGGTAAGATATCAGCTTTACACACAGGTTTAGACAGCCCCAAGACAGGAAACAGGATACATCGTATGTTAATAGTTACAGTCAATGTTTGTCTGGTTTATTTTTGTGTGCGTTTGCAGAGGATGTGAAGCGTCTAAATGAGAAGCTGACAGAGACGAGCAAAGTCAAGATGGAGCTGCAGTTAAAACTGGATGACATAGAGTCATCTGAGGCTTCTGTGCAGGTACACGTCAGAAGTTGATGGAAACCACCACAGCTCAGTGTGGAAGTGCTCTAAGTCGCAGCTCATGATTGTAAACCCATATGTTTAAAACCCCACAAATCCTCTTGAAATATAAAGTCAGTAATGTGTCTTCTTCTTACTCTTCTTACTTACTCTAATGTGTGTATGTGTTTTTGGATGCATACTGTTGGGTTATCCTTTGGTGTGCCTTCTATTTATGTTACTGTAGTAACTTTTCCACTTAATAAAGCTAAAACTGCATGTTTGTAGCATCTGACCATCACCAAATGAGTCCCTTAAGCAGTAGCAAAAAAACTCAGAACTCAGAATCAGCATTTTTGTCTTTACTGATCAACTGGTCACAAATCTTCAGTACACCACTGAGGATTATTGTACTGAAACCAGATAATTATAGATAAAGTCTCAAATCATGTGCTTTGTGTGATTACATGCCCTGTGTTTGTATGTTAAAGCACCGGGAGAAGCGCATGGAGCAGGAGAAAGAGCTACTCGAGAATAAAATCGAGTGGTTAAGTGCAGAACTGAAGACCAAAACTGAAGAACTGTTGAACACCAACAGAGAGAAAGGCAAAGAGATACTGGAGCTGCAGGGTAGTCTGAATAACAGCAAGGAGCAGGTAACAAACAAACAATATCCACATAGAGTGAGATTGTGCAATGGTTTTCAAAGTTTGAGACTGTGGGCCCTCCCCACTGACAAAGCTTGGATAAAGACGCCCTCCCCCCGGTTTACTTTCTTAGTTTGGCTCAATTCCTGAATGCCTTATCATGTTCATGATCATGATCATGATATGTTATTTGATCCCATAGCCACTCAACAATGAGCCAATATTGCTGTTTGACATAACTTCAGACTACACCAAATACATAAAAAAGGGATTTATTAGTTTCCTTCTTTGGGGGGAAAAAAACACATTTCTTCCCTGAATGTGTTTGGCCTCCCAAAACCTCTGTTCTACACAAATATAACAATGGTATTCCTTTTGACTTCCATCTCCTGTATTACTACTGACTGTTAAATATGATACAGAGTTAATTGTGCCAGTATGTGCTCTGTTCTCCATGGAAACAGCCTGCCAGCTGGAATCTGTGCTACATTTAGTTGTCGAGCCTATATGAATTATTTAGGTTAAATATTGACCAGATGTTTTTGGTTTGCTGAGCCAGACCAGCTCTAGTTTTAATTCTTAATTTAATCTATATTCCTGAATTTAAGTGATTTTTGCTTGCAAGAAGAACGTATTGGGATGTCACAGGAATGGTACCATCAAACCAGATGGTAGATGATGTGGCAGACGATAGGACATCTGATATCTTAAAATAACTTGTCTCTTCAACAGGTAACCAGACTGGAGAGCCAGCTCGCTTCTCTGAAGGAAACCAGTGACAGTCATAGTAAACGAGCCATAGACCTCAACAACAAACTGAAACAGGTAATACAAACACACGTATGCTCCTCAGCTAAGAATTTGATAGACACTTGGATTTAGGCATTTATTTCTGATGTGATTTGCATTCTGCATGTTTACATCTGAATAGGATGGTTTTGGCAGCTGTATAAGATAGCTGAGGGTCCTCACACCACTGCAAAGACCCTCAGGTCCTCAGAGCGGGGACTGTTGACTGTTGCTCTGATGTTAATTATGAAGTGTGATCTTGCAGTAGTTCCAGACTTTGAAGCGACCCTCCTTCAAGCCAGTAATACCACATTAGGTTCTATAGAAATTCACTTATCATACATTTAACTTGATATGCACAGGACAAACATATTAATAGTGACTGGGGGAAAATATGTGGTAAGTGTGGGCCAGGCAGGATATGTAACCTTAAAAGGCATGCAGGTATGAGTACATGTAGTGTTATTCATTGTTTATATTGTCCACCTGTCTGTCCAGGCTAAAGACGAGCGGACTGCCATGGAGGAGAAATACCGCAATGAGCTCAACGCTCATGTCAAGTTGTCTTCACTCTACAAGGTGAGAATGACTGCAAGGCACCTTGAATAAAAAGTTTAAAAGTAATACTAGACTTTATCTCTTCATTGTGCTGTCATTTTATTCCGTGTGTGCAGTCAGTATGTGATGTCTTTGTTCTCCCTGTAGGGGGCAGCAGCAGACATGGAGACCAAGAACCAAGAACTGAGCAGAGCAGTGGAAGAGCTCAGCAAGCTGGT